ACAGTAGGTAAGTCTGTGAAGACGGGAAGTCGATCATGGATTTCCTGGAACTGTGGGTAGTGGGAAGGTGGTTGGAGGTCAATGGGAATGACTGAAGAGAATATGGAGTTGGTTTGCAAGGGGCAGGGCAGGGGGTTGGGAAGGGCGGACATGGGAACATTGTGTTGTGGTGGTTGCAAAGCGCAGATAGTAGTAACATTGAATTGTCTGTTTAGATGGGCGCATTGTAGGGTGTGCAAGCTAAACTCACACACACGAACCTCAGTGGAACAAAAACAGTGTTACTGAAAGTAAATTTGATATTGTTACCTAAGCAAAGCAAAATGAAATAAAGCTACCAAACTTACAGTGTCCACCCCTGGGTAATTTATAAACGCTACAATCTAGACAGACAGAGACACCTGCTGGTGGTCTCACAGGGCCAGAGTTCACACATACCCCTGACCATGAGAAGCTCTTACAGCTCTTCTTCCCAAGGTGATGGTTTTCTTTTGAATGAGAGAAGGTCTAGTAAATCTTAATTTTTATCAGAACCTTTCCAATTAGACTCATTTTGCTAAAGAAATTTGTATTTAGTTGTCACAAGATACATATATATATATATATATTTGGTAACTTTGTTCTAGGTGGCAATGTAATTCAATATGTTCTATGCAACTGTTTTTAGTTCTTTCTGTGTGTATGCTGTAAATTTAAAAAATATAAGGCTTATTTATTTGAAAGCAAAGTTTACACAGAGAAGAAGAGAGAGAAAAGAGGGGCGGGAGGGAAAGAGAATATGAATTCTTCCACTGTTTCACTCCCTGTGGCCGCAAAGGCTAGAGCTATGCTGGTGCAAAGCTGGGAGCCAGGAGTTTCTTCTGGGTCTTCCATGTGGGTGCAAGCACCTTTTTTTTTTTTTAATTTGTTTTTATGTTTGTTTTTCTTTTTCTTTTTTACTGTCATAAGTTGATCAAAGATTCTAATATGCCCTGAACTTCTAGTCAAATGCAAAGGCAAGTGATATCCAAAACCTGCGTGGCTTGTGGCCCTTTGAATAAAGAGGCAGCTCAGCCACTGGGAGTCCCGGGTCTTGAGCCCTCGGCCATGGGGGGAGGGTGGACAGGAGATTTATTTTGCTTGAGGTTACCTGCTGAACCCTTATTGGGAACATCTGGTCAGATAGACCTGTCTGACTCCTCCCGTTTCCTTCCTGGAAGCGAATGCAGTGGAGGATGGCTCAAGTGCTTGCACCTCTGCCACCCACGTGTGAGGCCCAAATGGAGTTCCCGGCTCCTGGCTGCTGCGGTCATTTGAGAGTTAAACAGCAGCTGGAAGACCTCTCTCTCTCTCTCTCTCTTTCTCTATCTGCCTTTCACATAAAGAAAGAAATCTTTTAAGAAGGTTTGCAGAAACTGAAATTAAAAGAGGAGTTCATTCTGGTGTGAAAAAGTTTTGATGTTCTTCTGAACAAGTCTCCAAAAAGTTCCAGGAAATACATATTGTGGAATAAGTATGCATGTATTTTAAATATGTTTCTGTACCGAAATAAATTGAGTTTTAAATTTCCTTTATCCACCAAATTTTGAAGTACACTGTTATCATTACATTGAGAGGATCTGTGGGCTGGGGACTCAGTGTGTGCATTGGAGGGTAGGGAGGGGACCTCAGTTCAGTCCATAATAAATCATAAAGCATAAGTGAATAATAAAATTATGAACATAAGGAAGAGTGAAGACCACACCCATAGCTTCATGCGTTTGGACAAATCGAAGTCCTCTCTCATCTTTGCCCAAATTCAGAGCTTATGAGTGGTTCTTCCCTGCCTGGTGAATGCAAGTATTCATGAGCTTCTACTCTGCTTCCGATGCAGCTCCCTGCTGATGCACCTTTGCAAACAGCAGGTGATGGCTCAAGTCCGTGGTTTCCTTCCACCTGGAAGGATGGAGTTCTCTGTCCTGGTCTAGCCTGAGTTATTGCAGGCATTTGAGGAGTAAAGTGGTGGGGGGGGGGGTGAATGTTCTCTCTCTGTGTGTGTCTCTGTCTCTCTCCAGCTCTGCTTCTCTCTTTCTGCATTTCTTTCTCCCCTCACCCTCCTGCATTTCAAGTAAGTAAGTAAATAAAGAGATCTTTTGCAAGTTCTGATTACTTGGCATGTTGCTGTTTTAATTCATCCTCCATTAATGAATTTACTAGGTTGAATGTTTTCCATTAGACTTCCTGTCACACGTTTTTCTCATTTATGTTCAGTTGGCTTGTCAGGTCAACATTTTTCTCACTTGATTAAATGCCTTTTAAGCAACCTATACATAATTAAAACAACATTAAATATACATTTATTTTCTGGTAATTGATTCGCTTATAGTATTGCCTCTGAGGTTTTTATTTTCTATAAAAGAAATAGGTGCAATTGAAAAAGAGGGGCTGATAGCACTTTATGTAAGATTGTGATGATACTGATGTGTGCATGGAAGATGCTTCTCAAATCTGTGAGAAAGAAAGACAAAAACTCGTCCAGGCCATTTCTTGGCACGTCTCCAATCCCCAGGGACCCAGAAATCAGAACCGAGTTGACAGGCCTACAGTAGTGATGTTCAGACAAACGCACTGGTGGCGAACCTTCCTGGCAGGTGCTGGAGTACAGTGTCTACAGATTGCTCCAACAGAACTATTCAGTATCTGGTCTTCTTGCATCTACATCCTGGCAGTGATAGGACACTATATTGGGGATGTTTGTCAGTACAATATGGGCTTATGTCTTTTTTCTGCATGCCAAAGTGATCAACCATGCCAAGAGAAATGTAGAAGAATCATATGGGGAGCGGTTTCCTGATTTTTCTGCATTCATCTTTTATTGATCATTGCCAAGTTGTATAGATTTTTAAAAGATTCATTTATTTTTATTGGAAAGGTAGGTATATAGAGAGAGGAGAAGAGACAGAGAGGAAGATCTTCTGTCCAATGGTTCACTCCCCAAGTGGCCGCAATGGCTGGAGCTGAGCCAATCTGAAGCCAATAGCCAGGAGCTTCTTCTAGGTCTCCCACATGGATGCAGGGTCCCAAGGCCTTGGGCCATCCTCAACTGCTTCCCCAGGCCACAAGCAGGGAGCTGGATGGGAAGTGGGGCTGCTGGGATTAGAACTGGTGCCCATATGGGACCCTGGCGAGTTCAAAGCAAGGACCTTAACCGATACGCTACGGCACTGGACCCTGTATGGATGTTTTTGAGAGAAGTGTTTCAACGGATTCTTGACATCTACTTCTCCCAGCACTTAAAATATACACAAACTTTCAAAGGAAAGAAAGCCCTTTACAACTTGTACCTTAAAGGGGTGAGCATTAGGGAGGCACCACAATGTCTGCCTCCCTTCAACCTGTGTTGTTTCTCTTCCCATCAGCTCAGGGCAGCAGGTGGAATACTGAGCTCCTGCTTTGGGCTGCACAGTGTGAACGGGACCCTTTCCCTTTTGGGTTCTGTACCAGTCTCCCTTCAGTTTCATAGGTTGCCCAAGGACCAACAAGAGCAAGGTGCATGAGTCATTCCCAAATGGGGATTTGGCCAGTGCTTATACACAGAACTTGGAGAACTTGCCCCGTGTAGCAGGTCCTTGCAGAAGAGTTCTGGCACAGTGCAGTGGGGGCAGGTTCCCTGAGTACTTGTAGCTCCCTTTAGCCACTGTTAGGATCTCAAGCAATCAGGTAAGGCATGAGGTTAGGTTTGGAGCAGCAACACAGGGCTATTTTGACCTGGGGCATATTTCCCCTATAGGCTACGAGGAAATCCCAGCATCAGATAAGGTGCAGAGGGATTTTTGAAAAAGAGGTCCTCCTATGGATTTCTTATCTCCAAAGGGGGGAAAAAAATCACCCAGCTCCATGGCTTAGATTGCTTAGGCTGTAAAGATGGCTGGGCATTCTTTCACAGGCCAGCCAGAGCTGCTTCCACAAGCCACATCTCATCATGCCAGTCAGGTTGTGACTGATCCACCAGCCTCTAGCCCCAAGAAAGCTACGTTTCTACTCGCAGCTGCTGACTTCCTTCTAGCAAATGCTCTGTCAAGCGTGGGGAAGCTCCAAGGTTGCTTCCTGGGTTGTCTCTGTATGTATCTTCTAATAATGACTACGGTCATGTTTATAAGGTGTAGAGGATTTGGGGGGAGGGGAAGATGGTGATGTAAAGGTATATTCTTGGGGCGTCAGGCAGTGTTGAGAATGAAATAGTGCTTCTCAAATTTGCTTTGCAATTACCTGGAGGCTCTTATTAAAGTGCCGATTCTGATTAAGTCATTTGGGGATAGGTCTATGGATAGCACCTTTGAGTAGCACCCCTGCCCGCCTGGAAGGGTGATTAGAGGGTTAGGGTTTGCGGATACTTTACAAAGTTAGTGGGAAATGGAATCAAACAATGATTATTTTGGTGCATAGTTTTTGAAATCCATCCTTATGAGGGCTCTTTTCGAAAAGTTCAAGAAAACTGCATGGAACTATGCATGCATTAGAAAAATTATTTTGCACATCAAACATCAATCTCTTGTTTAGTTGTGTTTTCCATGAACTTTCTGAAGTATTTGTCGGGAGCTCCAAACTGGCTCCACAGCTACAGCTAAGCCCTCTCTGGAAGCGAGGCAGGTGTGACAGATGGAACAAGAAGCGCGATTTCTGGGATTCCCTTTCCGCTTTTCCGTCCTGGTTGTGGGTTCTGAGGTTGCGAGAAGGAGGGCATGGGGCTAGCTTCTTCGACATTTGGGAATCACAGGACTTCCGTGGGAATGACGACAGCAATGAACTAACCGTCTTGTCTCTGCAACCACACGCGCGCGCACACACACACATCCTCCTGAATCTGCAAACCTCTCCTGGCCGCGCCAGCTCGCAGCTGCGGTCCAGGACTCCCCCCAACCTGCCTTTTGCTTTTTCTTCCCCTCTCTACCCAGGCCCAACTCCCGGCTGGGGCGGCCGATCCTGCGCAGCTGAGCATCTGGTGCGCGCTCCGCGTCAGGGCCCGGGCCGGGGGCGTGCCGGGGGGCGTGCCGGAGGCGGGACCAAGGCGGGCAGCCCGCCGCGCCCCTCGGCCCTGCGAGAGGCCGAGCTTGCTGCATTGCAGCCGCCGCGGCGCCGCTCGGCTCCTGACTTCCAACAATGGCGGCTCCGAGCCCGAGCGGCGGCGGCGGCGGCTCCGGGGGCGGCAGCGGCAGCGGCACCCCGGGCCCCGTCGGCTCTCCGGCGCCGGGCCACCCGGCCGTCAGCAGCATGCAGGGTAAGGAACGCGGCCGCTCCTCGACCCCGGACCCCCTCGCGCGGCCGTGCGCGGAGTCGCGGCCTGCCTGGAGCGGCCCCGCGGACGCCCCCGGACCCGGCTGGAGGAAGCCTCCCAGACCGCCCGCACCTCCTTCTCTTCCCCCTTTGCTTCCCGCCCCATTCCCCGGGCCAGCTCGGCTTCCATCCGGACTCTAGGCCCCGGTCCCGGCCTCCGCCAAGCCCTCGGCCCCTCGGCCCTGCCCGGCGCCCCCATCGGCCCGCTGGGCCCACCTGGCCCGGGACCGCCCCCGCGGCTGCCCGCATCGCGGCCGTCGCTCACCTGGCGCCCGCCGGGCCTCGCCCAGGGTGCCCGCCGCTGCCCAGGTGAGGCGGCAGCGGCAGCGTCCCCGGCCTGGCGCCCGCAGCTCCTGCGCCTGGGGGCCCCCAGCTCAGGGCCATCTTGGTTCTTGCCCGGGCACAGCTGGAGCCTGGAGCTGGACCACCCTGCTGACCTCTGGGGCCCCCCGTGGTCCTGCTGGAACCTACGTTTCCAAACTTTTACAGGATTTTCTGTGCGCTGGGAGGAGCAGGGCGGCCGGGGGCGGGGAGGGTTGCCCAGGCCTGTGCCACCTGTAAGGTAATCTGAGGTAGACAGCCATTGGCCTGGGAGAGGCATTTGGTTGCAGGCCGAGGGGGTTCGTGTGTTCGCAAGCGTTGCATGCAGCAAATAAAAAATGAAATGGAACAGAAAGCTGGATGCGGTTTCCGTGGAGAGATACAGGAAGTAGAAAGGTAGGGGTCAACGGGATCCGGTGGTGTCTGACCATCCCAGGCAGCTCTCCCGGTAATGGCCTTCCCCACTGGGAATGCCCGTGAGCTCCGTGGGCCTGTCGACAAGGGGTGTTGTGAAAACAGCAGGCCCGAGTGCCCGTGGCCGGAGGTGGGGGGAATCGTTTCCGTAAGTTTATAGGGAGCAGTTGAAGGAGCTGCGCTATTTTTAAGGCAGAGCATCTCAGAACTCCCAGGACAACAAGGCTCGAGAGCGGCTTCTGTTGGGTTCTTAGCAGGGCTGGTGAGGCGACCCCCTTGCTAGTCGGGATGACTCAGGCAGCACAGCGTGCTCCGATTTAGGATTTTGGTCTTCACCAACTCTGAAACCACACACACACACACACACACACACCCTCCTAATTCTGCAGACCTTTCCCGGCCCTCAGGACTGTATTAGGAATCCAGGACAGTGTGGGGATACAGGCGGGGTGAAGTGAGAGCTCCGGGCACTTCGTGTGCTAGTCCTAAGGCAATGCGATTGAGTTGGGTACCGGATGCCCCTGGCGTTGCATAGCACGTTAAGCAGGTAAAAGACAAGATGGGGCTCCTGATCTTTCAGTTTCACAGCCTAGGAGATAGTGGTGGTGGTGGTGGTGGTAGGGAACTGTGTGGTGGAACAGAACAGCAAAAGCAGTTTAAGGATTGTGTGATTTACAAAACTTATGATAAAAAGAACTCTAGTTCTGGGAGCATTTTGTGTAGGGGATACGTGAGCTGACAGCTTGAAAAAGGTAATACCCATTTATTTTTGTTGATATTGTTCTGAAAAGGGGGAAAAAAATTTGTTGGCTATCTGCTGAGTACTTGGTCTAGCACTTTGGTGCTGAGTGTGTGGGGAAGACTGAATGGGAGAGTCTCCTGGACGGGGCTTTTCCTTTCTGAGAGGATGGAGCAGAGAAGATGGGATGCGGGCAAATAGTAAGATAAGGACCGGCTGAGGAAAGCGTGATGGAGGTGACAAGCTTGTGATAGAACACGGTGGGTGGAGGGCAGTTCTGTTCTGGAAGATGGCTGGAGAAGGCCTTGCTGCAAGGGCCTGGGCTGCTCCCAGGGTCCTAAACGGAAGGAACACAGAGAGTGAAGGTTCAAGATGTTGGGCATGTTTTTGGGAACTTTGAAAAGAAGGACCTCAGATCTGTCTTTCAATTATTGCTGAATTTCCTTTTATCAGCATTGGGTCTTGATTGATTTTGCAAACATAGAGTTGTGCAGTTGAGTCTGGGAATTTTTTTTTTTTTTTGGTTTATTAGGTTTGCTAAAAAGTTTATTATTTATTTGAAAAAGTTACTGAGAGGAAGGGAAGGCAGAGGGAAAGAAAGGGCTGAGGGAGAGAGAGTGAGAGAGAGGAGATATCCACACACAGATTTTGTCATCTACTGGCTCATTTCCCCAGAGTGCTGTGACAGCTTGGCTGGCCCAGGCCCAAGCCAGGAGCTGCTTCTGGGTCTCCCATGGCTGCACAGGGGCACAAGCACCCGAGGTATCTTCTGCTGCACTCCCAGGCCGTTAGCTGGAAGCTGGATGGGACTGGGGCAGTCAGGACTGGCACTGTGGCCTGTGTGGGATGCCTATGTCGCTGTCACAGGGGGGCGGCTTGACCGATCCCGCATGACGCTGGCCCCTGTATCTTATTCTTGAACTTCTTCTGATTACTCAGACTGAAGTGTTTGAAATCCTCAAAGTTTTGTGTCACACAATCCATGTGAGCTTTCAGCAGAAACTTAGGATCTCTCTGTGACGATAGTAGATCTGAACTTCTCATACTTCAGCACCAAACACGTAGTTCAGCTTTAGTTCAGAGTTGAGAGCGGTCCATAGAAGGTATTTGGTATGCTGGTCTCTCCCTTATCTGCTTCTGTTGGCCAGCAAAAAAGCTCGCGTGCACACAAACACACATATGCACACACACCAAAAAACAACAAAACCTGCCTTTTCCAGGAATCGTTGATGGCCAGCCTCTTCCAGGAGCAGGATTCGCCGTGGGATGTGCGGGCTCCATTTGGCCAGCAGGCAGCGCACCCCCTCGGGTGTGATAAGCATGCAGAGGGCAGTCGGTGACCCAGCATCCTTTTGCACAGCTTGGGCTTTCTGGCCCAAGAGTGGGTCAAAGTGGAGACTGGTGTCGCCTTAGGACCATAAAGCTTAAGGTCCAGAGCTTTGGTGTCCTGGTTTTGAATCTCATCAAGATTGAAGCTTTTTGTGACCCTGGGTTAAAGGTCTTTTACCTCCCCAAGCATCAGTTTCCCAAGTAAAAAGTAAGAACGATGCTTTACTTCAAGCGTTTTGAGCACGTCAGTGAAGTATGGGGCCCTGACACACTGACAGGATGCATGTCAACTCCCCTGGTTAGGAGCTGTTAGCCTGTAGGGAGCCCCTCAGTGGTCTCTGATTGTTAGGGAGATGAATCCTTAAGCCTCGCGGTATACCAAGTAATTTCTTCAACTTTATATCATTGCTGGATTCCCCCCTCCATTTTTTTCTCCCATTTTTTTTGGTTGTTGAGCAATTTCTCTTCCTCCCCCAGAATATTCTAGATGAGTCTGTGCTGCTTAAAACTCCAGGTCCTCTGTCTATCTTGGACCTGTGCATTCTCAAGTGAATTATAATTCACTTAATATGAACTACAGGCCTAACCATGAATTTGTTCTAATCCCCTTTTTGAGGGGTGAGGTGAGAGAGGATAAAGATTGAAAGGCAATTTTTAGTGAATTTCACTTTATAACAGTCCTAGCTTTGGTTGTATTATTTTTACTAATAGCTGTATTTCTGATTTGGCCTTTTTTTTTTTTTTTTTCTTGTAGCATTCTCATTGTACCATAGAGAACAGAATAGTTGCTAATTGTTATTACTCATACATTTGTTTTCATTCATTCGGACTCATTTTTTTCATGTTCATTCACAAACCCAACTTTCATAGCTTGAGTAGTTTTGTGTTTTGGTTCTTTGGTGACTAAACTATATGAAATGTAGATCTGTTTACCAAGTACAGTAAATAATTTTTGTAAAAAATGTATTTGCTACTAGGACGGGTTTGCGTTGGAGGCAACAAAAATCCTCAAAAGAGCTACTATGGGTTATGCTTCCATTGGTTGTGTGTCATCAGTAATTTGTTGATATGGGTGAATTCTCACATATCAGAATAAAGTACTGGGTAATAGTGTAATTCTTCAGCTGAAGATTAAATTTGAGTCAACTGAAAGTTTAGGGTTGACTCGTTCACATTCCAGAACTTCCTTAGGCCCAGATTGGGTTTTCTGTTGTGGCAACTGAAAAACCCAGTGAATTTCGCCAACTTTGTTTGCAGCGTCTGAGGCGAAGCAGAGTCCACGGTGCAGCTGCGAGCGGGCAGCGTTTATGTAGAGACAGCCGTTGTTGCTGTGTTGGATAAGAGCATTTTCTCATGGAGGAAGCTCCTAGGTGAGGTCTCAGCGGGCCCTTTGATGCCACTGCCCAGTCAAGGTGGCTTCTTCTTCACTCGGGGCTGGTAGTAACATGTTGTCCTGTGGCGTGCAGTTGTGTTGAAGACATGAAAGGGTGCTGGATGTGGAGAGAGCCCTGGGGGGTCCCAGGTCACAAGCAGGGAGCTGGATGGGAAGCGGGGCTGCCGGGGGTATGCGATGCTGGCATTGCAAGTCATAGGATCAGCCTGTTGAGCCACTGTGCTAGCCCCTCCTGCATTAAAATAGGGATAATACTGTACTGTTCTGAGAGTCACGGTGTGAAATGAATGCACCTGAAAGTGCTATGCAAATTACAGCATAGTTATTAGTACGTATTATCATCAGAGATGTTGTTTATTCGCTTTAGTTACTTACTAGTCAGTCCATGGATTTAAGAGATCTTTTAAACATAAGAGCTTAAGTTTATCATAAAAGATTTAAAGCGGGGTGACATATGGCACTTCCTCAAACCTTACTCAGGAGCTTGAGAAGGGTCAGCTTTTACTTTTAGAAGCTGTAACTGATTCTAAAAAATACTGAGTTGTTTGCGAAGTCCTAGTTCCAGGACTCAGGCACAAGCATGTGCTGTGGATGCCGGAGAGCTTCCTAATGTGCTGATCCAGGCAGTGTAGTAGAAACTTCTATTTTTTAAAAATATATGTATTTTTTTAATTGGAAAGTCAAATACACAGAGAAGAATATCCTCCATCTGATGGTTCACTCCCCAAGCAGCTGCAATGGCTAGAGC